CTCTGGCCCAACTCTCAAGCTGGGTCCTTTTGTGAAGTTTAGAAACTCAGGGCTGCTGGACATTGAGGCCTGGCTGGGTCATTTTGGGGTAAATTACTTACTATCTCTGGGCCTCAGGTCACTTGTTGTAAGATGAGATAATCCTACGTGGCTTTGCAAAGGCTAAAGCCTTGGGTCAGTCATTTCATGAATATCACGACTGTCACAACACATCTCTAAATTACTCTTAATGTCAGCCCTCTTGGCTTCCCTATCACACTGTTAACCTCTATTGGGCTTGTGATCCACTGAAACCCCCAGATCATTTTCAAATGAATAGCCAGCCATCTAGCCATATCTTCTCCATTTCGTCCTTGTGACATCGAATCCTTGAACCCAAATTTAAGTTGTTACATTTACCCCATTAAAGTTCACTTTCTTGGGTTTAGTCCATTATTCAAGCCTGTTGTGAGACCCTTTTGAACCTCAGGTTTGGGCCATCTGCAGATATGATCAGCATACAATCTCTGTGTTGCATAGTGGCTATAGAACCAGCCTCAAAGCCAGGAATACCTGGGTTCAAGTCTCGATTCTAACGTGCTCACTGTGGGACTCTGGATAAGTTATTTGACCCCTTGCTGCTTCAGGCATCTCTCTAAGATTTGAAATCGCAGCATCTGTAGAAGGACTTCCCTCACCTGGGAGTTCCCTATGCTAATAAAATCCCAGGCCCAGCACTTATCTCTAAGTCCCCACCACTAGTATTTTCTTCCAAAGATGTCCCTTTAATTCTCTTGTGCACTTGTCACAAATCTCACTCCCTTACTCTCCTGCCCTCAGGAAGCTCACAGTCTCATTAGACATTAGGAGGGGCAAACAGCTATGAACACACACTATACTATATGCAGTGTCATGGAAGGTACTTTCAGGGCATATAGTAGGTGCGCCCCTCCTTCCCTCCCTCCCTCCCCACCTCTCTCTCTCCCTCTCTCTCCCTCCCTCCTCTCTCCCTCCCTCCCTCCTCCCTCCCTCCCTGCCTCTCTCCCTCCCTCCCCCTTCCCTCCCTCTCTTCCTAGCTCTTCCCTCCTTGTTTCTAAGGCCCCTTCCCTGATCCGAGCTTGCTCTAAGGCATCCCCTGCCTCCTCCCTCTGACTATGTTGTCTATGTTCATGCTCTCCTCCAGCTGGGTTTCTATGACCCTTCCAAGGTCATGTTGCCTCCAGGATGCTGGGAAGCATTCTGAGCAGCGTGACTCATGTGCATGGCCATCTGTTGCGGGGGTGTGGCCGGGAGGCGGGGCGGGGCAGTGGGAATTCAGCCAAGGCTGAACTTGGGGAGGGGTGGCGGGGCGTCCCCAGGAAGCTCCCCTTCCCTACCTTGGGCGTCCCCTCCTTCCTACCTGTGAGTCAGAGGCCCCAGCCCCTGCCATCTGGGCAGCATTCAGTGCGTGGCAACGGAGGGCACCATAGACATCATCCCCACGTGAGGGAGCGATTGGCTTCTTTGGTGTAAGGAACTCCCAGCAAGAAAAGTCTCTCCACCAGTGCAGACAAGTACCTTTTATGTAACTCGGAGAGCTGTCCAGAGCTGAGAAGTCCGTCGGTTTGCCTCGGGTCGCACAGCCAATATGTCAGAGTCAAGACTAGCCCTGTTCTCTTGGCTCTGGCTGGCCCTGCCTCTGATGAAACAGTGGGCTCCTCATATCTGCAGATGGCACAAAGCTGGGATCCCAAGGAATCTTGAGGGCCTTGAGTAATGGTCTGCATCCAAACAGGCAGCTCTGATAGGCATGAATGGAGCAGCTTCTCCCTGGGTTCAGGGAATCAACTTTGCAAGTACAAGAAGGGGGGACATATGGCTAGATGGCAGTTCACCTGAAAAAGACCTGGGGGTTTCAGTGGACCACAGACTCAGCAGGAGTCAATAGTATGTCCAGGTAGCCAAGAAGGCTAACACAGTCTTAGGCTGAAGTGGGACTTGAATAGAGGTCTTCATGACTCCCACTATGTGAGGTGGCCTTAATAAATGTTTCTCAATGAGCCTAGGTCCTCTGACTCAGTCCCCATGCTCTGTCCTATCTACCTCACTGCTTCTGCCCCAGCTGGTCTGATTTTGCTCTCGCTAGCTGTATGTGAGGTGGAGGGTTTGAGGGGGTGGGGAGAGGGCAGGACATGGGGCCTGAGCGCTCCAGATCCAGCAAGCCAGCTTGGTAGATAACAGGCCACCAATGTGTGAGCCGCTGCTGGCTTTAGTCACAGTACTTCAGTTCAGTAAATATTTATTAAGCATCTGGTCAAGGCAGTGTGCTCAGAGCTGGACACAGTGATTGTGGTCTGGGGGCAGACTTACCCAAGATCTCAGCCTCTCCTAACACCAAGTCCCTATGTGTGCGTGAGTGTGAGGATGAGTGTGTGTATTTGTGTATATGTGGGTGTATATGTAAGCGTTTTTGTGTGTTGTGTGTATGTGAGCGTATGCCTATGTGAGTGTGTGTAAGAGTGTGAGTGCGTATATGTATGTGATAGTATGTGTTGTGTGTGAGTATGTGTGTATGTATGTGAGAGTGAGTATATGTACGTGAGTGTGTGTGTATGTATGTATGTGAGTATGTATGTGTGTGTATGTATGTGAGAGTGAGTATATGTATGTGAGTGTGTGTGTGTATGTATGTGAGTGCGTATGTGTGTGTATGTGAGAGTGAGTATATGTATGTGAGTGTGTGTGTGTATGTATGTGAGAGTGAGTATATGTATGTGAGTGTGTGTGTGTGAGTATATGTATGTGATAGTATGTGTTGTGTGTGAGTGTGTGTGTATGTATGTGAGAGTGAGTATATGTATGTGAGAGTGAGTATATGTATGTGAGTGTGTGTGTGTGTGTGTGTGTGTGTGTGTGTGTGTAGAGGATGAGGAACAGGTAGGCAGGGTCCTTAGGTCAGCTAAGTGGTGCAATGGATAGAATGCCAGGCTTGAAGTCAAGAAGACCTGAGTTCAAACCTGGTCTCAGATACTTGATATGACCCTGAGCAAGTCACTTCACCCCGTTTGCCTCAGTTTCCTCAGCTGGAAAAGGAGCTGGAGAAGGAAATGGCAAACCGCTCTGGTATCACTGTCAAGAAAGTCCCAGGTGGGAGCAGCTAGGTGGCGCAGTGGATAGAGCACCAGCCCTGGAGTCAGGAGGACCTGAGTTCAAATGTGACCTCAGACACATGATACTTCCTAGCTGTGTGACTCTGGGCCAGTCACTTAACCCCAATTGCCTCACTAAAAAAAAAAAAAAAAGAAATCCCAGGTGGGGTCATGAAGAGTCAGACAGGACTGAAAGGACTGAAAAACAAAAGAGTAGAGTCCTCGGCAGGACTTTGAAGTAGCAAACGGTGTCACGGGGAGGGAGCAAGGGGGGCACAGGAAAGAGCTGGACAAGGCAACCGACATTTCTTAAAGGCTTGCTGTGTGCCAGGAGCCGTGCTGCTGGGCAAAGTGCTCTGGGAAGAGTTTTAGGAGAGACACAGAGAGATCTGGGTCTGGGGAGGTCAGGGAAGGCCTCGGGGAGGAGGTGGTACCAGAGCTGGGCACTGAAGGCAGAGATGAGCAGGGAACATGTCTCAGGCACGAGGGAAAGGGACTGGAAAACAGTCGAGAGGGAAGCGTGACTGAGTCCAGAGAGGGAAAGCTGGGCAGGCTGCAGGCAGCGAGTGCAGGGCCTCGGATGCTGGAATGCTGAGGAGTCACCTCACAGGCAGACAGGAGCCACTGCGATGGCCAGTGTTCTGGCAGCTTCATAGGGAACCTGGGTGACCCAGTGGGCAAACCAGGGAATACATGGTGGGCCAAAGCAGTGTGAAGCATGTGACCAATGAGGACCCGGGGTCAAGGAGTGACATCCTCCAGGATATGGTCCAAAGGACTGACAGGTGGTGAGAGTGAGGGAGAGCCCCCGGCCAAGGGCCTCCGGGGGTTGAGTGACCCTCTGCTGAGGACTCTGCGTCACTCCGTCAGCCAATAAGCAAGCATTTGTGGAGCTCCTGCTTTGTGCTGGGGCCCTGTGGGTAGAAATGCAATGAAGGCAGATTTCACCTTCCAATGGGGAGCGAGACCCCAAGGACGGCAATCCCACCGGGGAGGAGGCCTCGATGGGTGGGAATGAGAACATACACCCACTGAGGTCTTGAAATTGAAGCGAAGGCTGGAGAGGAGAGAGGAGAGAGCCTGGAGTCAGGGAGACCGGTCTTGGCCCGTGCCACACAGTACTGCCGGACCCATCTTCCTGAAAACACTGCTTTTACAGTCACTCCCCTGCTCAGTAACCTCCCTTGGCTCCCTACTGCCCTCCCGATCAAGTCCAAACCCCTAGGCAGATGTTCAAGGTTTTCAGCAATATGACTCCACCGTGATCTGTCCGGCCTCATCTTCTCTGCCTGAGCCCTATGCCCAGGACAAAGCTGGACTCGTAGAAAGAGCCCGAGTGCTGCCTCAGACCGCTACTAGCTGTGTGAGCATAGGCAAGTAGCTCAGCTTCTCTGAGTCTCAGTTTCCTCATCTGTCAAACCACCTTCCTTAGGGGTGTGGGTGTGGTGAGGGGGTACATCTGAACACGGATGTGCATGGTTTTGGTAAACCATACATCACTGTACACATATGTGCAAGGCGTGACTATTGGGATCCATCCTAGGAGGGTTACTAGGGTGGGATTATCAACCCATTTCACAGATGGGAAATTGAGGCCAGAGAGGGGAAGGGTTTATCCCGGCCAAGTTGTGGCAAAGCTCTGACCAGTACCCAGGCAGCCTCAGTCCCGCCGGCTGCTCCCTGTAAAACCTTGGGCCGGTCACTTCCTGGCCGGGCCTCGTTCTCCTCGTCTGTCCAACGAGGGAGCCCTTACCTCGGAGGTCCCTCCCAGAGCTGAATTAATGACTCTGTGCCGCTTGGCCCCCTCCCCCCGCGCAGCCCCTCCCCAGCAGGCGGGAGGGATGACTTAACAAAGCAAACAGATGGAGCTCAGGTTTCAGCCCGTCCCCGCACCTGAGCCCAGCCGGCAGAAGGACGTGGAGCCCTCCCCCGTGGCCAATCAGCGGAGGCTGGGCCCCTGCCCTCTCGGCCTCTCGGCAGCTGCGGGGAGGCAGGAGTCCTTGCCATTCCCTGGAGCCGGACTGGACCCTGCCCGGCCCCCCTCAATGAGCACAGCCGGGGATGAAGCGTCCCTGCCCACCGGGTAAGTGCTTCTGAATGCCCAGGCTCGGGCACCAGCAGCTGTCTGGGATGTACCAGCTGGAGCTGGGCAGGGGAGGCTGAGCGTGACTAATCAGTGGGGGTGGGGGGAAGAGGCACCAGGGGACAGCCCGGACAGGTGGAAATAATGGGGGGCCCTTCCCCTCCCCCCACTCAGTGGGAGCTCTGCGGCTTGTTTCTCCCAGAGCCAAGCCCTTGGACAGGACAGGAAGAGGGAGCAGGGGGTGTAGGGGGTGTGTGAGATGTGCGGATGTGTATAGGGGGCTTGCCGAGGGGAAAGGAGATGGAAGGAACCAATCTGCTCATTTAGTAGATGGGGAAACTGAGGCTCAGACCCAGGGTCACACAGATGGGATCGTAGAAGCATAGATTAGAGGTTAGAAGGGACTTCAGAGGTCATCCAGGCCACGCTCCTTGTGGAAACTGAGGAAACCGAGGCAGACAGAGAGGAAATAAGCATTAATTAAGTACCTACTGTGTGCCGGCTATGATGCTAAGTGCTTTAAGATTATTATCTCACTTCATCCTCACAACAACCTTCAGAGGTAAGTGCTATTTTTAATGAGGAAACTGAGGCAGGTAGATTTGCCCAGGGTCAGAGAGCTGGTAAATGCCTGAGGTCACATTGGAACTCAGGTCTTCTTCCTGACTCTGAGCCCAGAGCTCTATCCACTGGAACACCTAGCTGCCCAGAGAGGTGAAGTTACTTGGCCCAAGGCCACACAGATAGGCTTCTGGGAGGCAGCTGGGTGGTGCAGTGGGTAAGTTCATGGGCTTGGAGTCAGGAAGAACAGGGTTCAGGGGTGTGCTGGAGCTGATTGTTAAATTTTTCAGTGTGAGCATTTACACCTTAGAAATTGACAAATGCTACAAATCCAGGACTTCATTGATTAGAAAGCAATGGAGGGAATCTTATTAATGCAGCTGTCTGTCAAACTGTATCTGACGCACACATCCTGAAGGTTAAATATGTACCAGCACACTAGCTGTGTGACCCTGGGTAAATCACCTCACCTTTGCCTCAGTTTCCTCATCTGTAAAATGGGGATTGCAGTAGCAATCTGCCTCCCAAGGCTGCTGTGAGGATCATAATGGGATACTAATTGTCAAGTGCTTTAGAAGTGTTAGCTATTATTACAGCTGGCAGGGACCTCGGGGGCCTCATGTTACACAAAGAGAAACTGAGGCCAAGATAGGTGAAGGATCTTGACCAGCGTCAGGGGCAGGATTCCTCAGAGAGATGAAGCCTCTGGGCCTCAGTATCGCCATCTGTGACATGAGGACATTGGGCTACTTAGTAATACTGATGGCCCACATTTTATATGAAAGGGGAAGGGAGAGAAACAAGTACTTCTCAAGGGCCTGCTATGTGCCAGGCCCCATGCTAGGTGCTGGGGACAGAAAGAAGGGTAAAGGACAAGCCCTGCCCTGCACAGAAACAAGCAGAAGGTGGGGGACACGAGCATTTATGAAATGCCTACTGTTGGCCAGGCCCTGTGCTAGGTGCTGGGGACAGAAAGAAGGGTAAAGGACAAGCCCTGCCCTGCATGGAAACAAGCAGAAGGTGGGGGACACGAGCATTTATGAAGTGCCTACTGTTGGCCAGGCCCTGTGCTAGGTTTTTTTTTTTATAAATATTATTTCAACAGCTATATACAAATAATATATAGACTGGATAAATTAGAAATAATCCAGATGGGGAACCCAGGACCAAATCCTGCCTGATCAGAGGAGTCCTGGTGCCTTGTCAGGCAGTGTGGAGGAAAAGTGCTGGACTGAGAGTCGGGAGCCCTGGCATCCAGCCTCGACTCAAAGCTGACTCCTCTCTCTGGCGTCAGTTTGCTTGTCTATAAAATGGAGGAGTTGAAGCACAGTAGGTGAACACAATCACAGTCTCTCAGAGTAGACTCTGGGCCTATCTCGCACTGGACGAGGAGCCCTGCTATCGATGACATTGTCCAGACTCTTGTTTGTAGATTCCTGGTGAGTTGGCCTGTACCGTTCTGGGACAGTTCTCATTTTGGAAAGAACAGCCTATACATGCTTGAAGACAATTTTCTTGTTCTACTCATGTTGTCTAAGGCCCCTCCCAGTCCTGACATCCCCTGTTCTCGGGCCCCTCCCAGCTCTGACATTTTCCATCCTTTTTTTCCCCCTCCTTTCTTTGTATCCCAAGCACTCAGTGGAGTGCCCAGTACACAGTAGGCACTTACTAAATGCTTGTCATCCTGACTTGTTTCAACACGCTACCTTCCAAGTACTTGTCCATTCTGTAGGCAATGGTTCCGAGTTAGAATTCTAGTCCTCGGTTCCCTGGGGGTGGGAGGAGCACAGAGCACCTGGCAGGTTGCATTTCCACGAGGGATAGAGATGCCTTGGCAGGTATGAAGTCTCTGGCAAATGTTTGGGATGAGAAGGCGCCCTCTGATCCATCTCTGGGCTGAGCTGTATGTGCTGGCTGAGTTTTCTCCCTGGGCAGTATTTACCAAGGGCTGGTAAAGGCTGACTTGTGAACCAGGAGATGCCAGGGGCGGGCACCCTGGCTGCTGGTTGGCCCTCCCTTTCAACCCTGATGATTAGAACACTTTCCCCCAAATCCCACATTAACTCTAATCTCCGCATCCTTCTTAAGCACAGGATAGACCTTGTTGACTGAGACGTTTAAAAAGGAATTTAGGGGTAGTGCAGTCAAGTCAATAAGCATTCATTAAGCACCTACTGTGTGCCAAAACACAGGAAAGGGCCCAGACTGAGGTGTTGAGGGAATTGGGTTCTAGTGTGACAAATTGCTTTCCTTCTCTGGGCCTCAGTTGCTTGAAGAATTGCACTAGGCAATTTCTAATCCCTCACTAAAGGAACTAGTACCAGGGCAGAAGGCTACGAGCCTGGTCACTGGTGGCCACAGACTACTCCCCCTGCCTCTGAACCCCTCTGGGGTTTAGGACGTTCAAGTCTGCTGCTGCCACATTGCCCTGAAAATCAGGGTCATCTGGATGGTCTGAAAAGCCTTCAGTGAGCTTTTACTGAGGATGCCCATTGACAATGAGAGAGAGGAAGGGAAGGTGGGAGGAGGAGATGACTGTGGTGGTCCCCGAATGAGTTTTGAGGAGGATAAGAAGGCGAGACAAAGGGCGAGAGGAGATGAGGGGAAAACTGGGTGGAAAAACAGTCGGACAAGTGAAATCAGTACTGCTTGAATGAAAAATGAAGCTCTAAGTGATTCTGCATCTTTGATTAGAATCGGCCATCCAAGAAATAAGAAATTGGCATAGGGGGTAGCTGATCAGAGGAAAGTTTTTTAAATGTAAGTGATCAACCCCCTATGAAAAGAGTGCCCCGAATTATTAATCATAAAAATGCGAAATAAAGAGTATAGCACTCCTGCCCCGCACATTGACAAAGGACCAAGCTAGGAGTGGTCAGTGTTGGAGGGGGGGAGAAGGTGGGCCCCGTGATGGGCTGCTGGGGAAGCTTTGACTTGGTCTGGCTGTTCTGGAAAACGGAGGAGGTCAAGCACAGTCAGTCAACTAACATTTATCAGGCACCTACTATGTGCCAGGCAGTGCTAAGCCATGGGGGTACAAAGAAAGGCAAACAGTGTTCTCAGGGAGCTTCCTGTCTCATGGGGGAGACAAGATGCCAACAACCATGGCTAGACAGGAGGACATGGTCTGGTGATGGGGGCATGGAAGGATGAAGGGGGACCCCTGAGCTGGGGGGGCTCAGAGAGGGCAGAAGAGAGGCAGAGCAAGGGGAGGGAGGGGGAGGAAGGAGGAAGGGGAAGGAGGAGGAAGGGTGAGGAAGAGAAGGAGGAGGAAAGAAGAGGAAGGGGAAGGAGAAGGAGGAAGTGGAGGAAGGAGGAGGAAAGAGGAGGAAGGGGGAGGAGGAGGAGAAAGGGGGAGGAGGAGCAGCAGCAGCCGCCTCACCCCACCAGCCCCGCCCCCGCCAGCAGGGGGCGCTCCGCCCCAGCCTCGCTCTGATCCCGGGCTCGGCCTGTAGGGGGCGCGTGTGCAGGGGGCGCCCGCCCATGGTCGGGGCCGCTTCTTCCCCTTTCCCAGGCATGGGCCGGCCCCAGGGCAGCGGGGGGCCGAAGGGCATGACTGATGCAGAGGCTCGCGGCCCTCCTCACTAGACCTCGGCGGACAAGCCTGGGCCCTAGCCCCAGGTAACCGGCTGTGGTTGGGGGGGGGTGGCTCTCCAAGTGAGGGCACCTCAGGCAAGTCCCGCCCCCCTCTGGGCCCCGGGGTCCCTTCCTGTGAGGTAGGGGGGCCCCCCCACTCGGGCCCCCAGCGGGTAGGGGGGGAGGGGCGGGGCGGGGGCCAGAGGCCGGGCTTGGCTGGGGGGGCGTGGGGCAGGGCTAGAGCAGGGAGCCCAGACTGGGCAGACAGAAACAGCCCACCCCCCAGGACCGCCCCCTTGCCTGCTGCTGGAGCCCCGCAAGCAGTAGGCACTTACTGAATGCTGGTTGATGTGAGCAGGCATTACGGGAGGCTGGGCAGGGAGGGGCTGCAATTAGCACCTCTGGAGAGAATGCCCGCAGTGGGGTGAGGTTTGCCCAGAATGCAAGAAGCGCCCTGTGCTCAGCGTGATTTTGGGTGAAGCTTTTCCCCTCCCCAGGCCTCCGTTTCCCTCTCTGTAACACAGCGGGTGGATGCACCATGAGGGTTCCCAACCTCTTTCTGTGTCGATGGCGCCTTTTCAGAGTCACGGTGTTTAATGGCGAAATAAATTTCATAGGGTTACAAAGGAAATTAGTGACGGTGAAATGTGGTCATCAAAATACCCCCCCTTTTTTTTTTTACTCCTTTTTGGTGCGGGCAATCAGTCAGGGTTAAGTGACTTGCCCGGGGCCACACAGCTAGTAAGTGCCAAGGGTCCGAGGGCGGGTCTGCACTCTAAGGCTGGAGCTCTATCCACTGCACCCCGTAGCTGCCCCCCCAACAAGTTTAGGGACCCAGGATTCGGGTTCCCTGGCTAAACGATCTCCAAAGCCCTTCCCGGTTCTGATAGCATGTGTTTGCAGGAGCCTGAACCTGAGAGTTGGAGGGACCCCAGGCCCCCAGGCAGTCCCGCTGTAGCTCATCCAGACCTCTGCTTGTAGCCCTCCATGGATGGGGAGCTTACCACCTCCAGAGGCAGCCCTTCCCAGGGCGGGACAGTTCTCGCTATTAGGAAGCTTTCCCTTTCCTCTTTGCCACTCCCCACTTTGACCTCTTGCTCCAAATTCTCCTTTTGATACAGAACCCCCCACCCCCCCTCACTCCTAATCAACTCACATTCAGTCCTTCTTCCTGTCCCCATTTCTTTCAAGCATCCATTCTCCTGAGCTGAGACCTTCCCTTTCCAGGCCTCTTTGATACAGGCTAAGATCCCCTTCCTCTTGTACCCCACTACCGCTGACTCATAGCTTGAGGTCCACTAACCCCTCCAGATTTTCTTCACACCACATCTTTCCCCATCCTCTTCTTATGCTGCTCAGTTTTGGGGCCCTGGTGTATGTCTTTACATTTGTACCCGTTAAGCTTCACCTTAATAGAGTCTTTCTTAGCGCTTGGAGGGAGCTCAGAGAGCATGAACTGGGGCCCGAGAAGAGACAGAAGGCATTTGGTTTCTGTCTCCTGTGTCTCTCACTTCGACAGAGGTCCTCAGGACTTCCCACTCCCCGAGCTTGGTAGGGAGAGCCCCTGACTCAGCATCAAAGCACTTCGGCACTTGCCACCTGTGTCTTATCATCTATAAAATGGATCCTGTCCCTCTTCCGAAGGTTTGTGTGAGGAAAGTGCTTTGAAAACCGTGAAGCGCTCTAGAAATGGGAGCAGCTGAGGGGGGCGTTGGGGAGTGGGGAGGATCTGAACCCAGTTCTCCCTCTGACGCTCTCTGCGTGACCCTGGACAAGACCGAGCCTGGGTTGTGCTTCATGAGTGGCTCCCACCTCTGAGGGCAAAGCAGTTGAGTTAGCTGGAGGGGAGGGGGCCAGGTCTGTGATTTTATCCCTCCGCAGGGTCGATCAGGTACTCACTTGCAGCTGGTGGCCCTGGGGAAGGGCCTGGGACACTGGCTGGGGTCACTACCTCCATGGTTTCCGTTCTTCATAGCCAGTCCTGGGGGGTTGGGGTGAGTGGGGGTGGGGCCTGCCTGGAGCTGGGTCCCCTCCTACTGCCTTCATGGGCTACCATGCAAACATAGACCTAGAGCTGGGGACCACAGAGTCCAACCAGCCCAGCCCCCTCATTTTACGGAGGAGGAAACTGAGGCCCATAGGTGTGAAGGGCCAAGGGTGAGATTTGACTCTGGAACCAGGGCTCTTTTCACTGCACATTCTAACCCTATAGTCAGTAGATCAATCAGCACATGTTTATTAAACAACCATTATGGGTCAAGGCCTGTGCTAGGCACCAGGCTATATAGTCCCTGCCCTCAGAGAGCTTACCCTCCATTGGGGGAGATAGCTTTTGCATTTATAAATAGAGAATAAATACAAATAAGAACCAGGTAGTTGGGGAGGGCACCAGCAGTCGGGGTGCCAGGAAAGGCTTCATAGAGAAGGGGTCACTTGGGCTGTGTCTCAGAGGAAGAGAAGGCACTGAGTTAACCATGACAGGGGCGAGAACAACGTGGGTCTGCCAGCCTTGAGTTCAAGGCACTGTTGTCTGGGCTCGACCGCAGAGATGAGCTGCCGGGGGAGATAGTGAGCCTCCCTTCCTTGGAGGGCTTCCCTTGAGGCCCATGTGTCATGGATCCGGGAGATGAGAGGATTCTTGCTTCTGTACATGGGCTGGACGTGCCGCTGCTGAAGTCCCTTCCATTTTAAAATTTGGTGTCTCTTTGGTACAGACCCTCCATGTCCAACCTGAACGTGGCCTTGGATGAATGCATGATCGCCCTCGACCTCTTTCTCACCAACCAGTTCTCCGAGGCACTCACCTACCTGCAGCCCAAGTAGGAGCCACACTCTCTGACAAGTTTGTTGGGGCGTGGGGAAGAGGGTGATGGAGGGATGGAGGCAGTATATGGGGGGGGAGGTATGGGTGGTCCTGTTCCTCAGCCCATGTAATGGGCAGCACCCGTGACCCTGAGGGTTCCTAGTGCTGCTGCAAATCTTATCACCAACTGTGTGCCTTAACTGCTTTGAGCTTCAGTTTCCTCATGTGTAAAATGGGGATAACGATCTGAGGATCCAATGAGATAACCCCATTTAATAAGTAGGACATAGTACTGGTAATGTGCTGTATACATTAGTATAAGTACAATATAGATATTAGTAATACACTGTACATGTTAGTCTGAGTACAGTATAGTACTGGTAATGATGGTGATGATGGCAAAGTCCCTGCCTACAAGGAGCTTATGGTCTTCTGGGGGATGTCACTCCCAGATACTCCTCTGGCTTTGTGGGGAGATCTTCTTTGATGCTGATTGCATCCCCTCTGGCCCTACCTATCTGTGGCACTGGGGGATATGCCATGTGAACTCAAAGGATTGTACAAGATGAAATGAGGACGTGGAGAGCGCTAGGAACTGGGAGAATCAGGGGAGGCTTCATGAAGGAGGGAGTTCCTAGGCTGAGCCTCGGAGGAAGACAAGGCTTCTGAGGAGGAGCAGTGAGGAGGGAGGGCACCCCAGGCAAGGGGGACAACCTGGGCAAAGGTGTGGGTCTGGGAGAGGGAATGTCAAGAGGGCCATTTGGTCTGGAAGGTGAAGTCCTTGGGACCCAAGACGAGAGAGGCAAAGGGACCCAGGCAGTCATTGGCAGAGGCAGACTTATAAGAGAGAGAGAGAGAGAGGGAATGGAGGAATGGAAAGAGAGACACAGAGAGAGAGTGCATGCATGTGCGCGCGTGTGCGCGCGCACGCGCACGCGCGCACACACACACACACACACACACACACACACACACACACACACACTAAAGGGACTCTGGAATGTTTAGCAACGCATCTGCTTCCATTCTTGAAGGATCACGCCCAAGAATGCTAATCCCAAAGTTGTAGATCAAGGCCCCTCGGTGATAAACAATATCCATGAGTGTCTCTGGCCAGCCTAGTTGTCTCCTGGATGCTGCCCTGATGCCAAGCCTCTCTGGCCTTGGCAAGGCTGGTGCTGGGATGAGTTCAGTAACCCGTGGTGCCAGCAGAGCCCTCCTGATGCCAGGGTCACACTGGAGACAGGTTCTGGGGGAGGAAAGAGGCAGAGGAGATGGGCTGCAGGGGAGGGATGACAGCAACTCCCCTTCCTGGAGTGTTTGACAGCTTCCAGAAGGCTTTCTTCACATGTGAAGAAGACGAGGTAGGGATTATTACACCCTTTTTAGAGATGCAGAAACAGGCCAAGTGAGGTGAAGGGGCATGCAGAAGGGCGTGTAACTAGTAAGTGTCTCAGCTGGGAGTCAGAGCACTTCTCCTGCCTCTAAGGTCAGGGCTGTCGTTGGTGCACTCTGTAGAGTCTGTACCATTTGAGGATCAGTTGAAGGGACTGAGGACGTTTAGTGGGAGAGAACATGATAGTTGTCTTCAAGTGTCTAAAGGGCTGGTGTTACGGGAGAATTAGCCTTGTTCTGTTCTGTCCCAGAGGGCAGAACCAGGAGCCATGGGAGGGAAGGGACAAAGAAGTTGATGTGGGCTGGATCGAAGGACCAACTCTAACAATGCGAGGTCTTCTGGGGAACACGTGATGTGCTCCCCGTCCATGGAGGCTGCTCCAAGTGGAAACTGGAGGATCACTTCTCAGGGGGTTATGGTAGGGATGCTCAGTCAGGTAAGTGCTGGACCAGGAGGCGCCTGGGGTTCCTTCTAGCTCTGAGACTCTGATTCTATGGTCCTATGTCTTTGCCCTTTGGGGATGAAACCCTAAACAGGTGCCCCAGAAGGTTTGCAGCTGACAACTTGTCAGTTCTCAACGGTGGTCCTGCCCTCCATTCTCCTCTCTCTGCTTTCCAAGGCCCTGGAGATGGGGCAGGCCAGGGGCAGATGTCCCACTGCTGCCCTGGGAGGTGGCTCAGAGCACAGCCTAGTGGCCCTGGCCCCAGCCGCTTCTTGAAGGCTAAACCTTGAACCCCCACTGGAAAACAGGAGGCATCTTTATTCATTGACTCCCCCACATGGATTAAGCACTGACTGTGTGCAAGGCTCTGGGGATCGCAGGATTGAATGCCGGAAGGGACCTGATTATCTCGTCCAAACCCCAGATCCTGGAGAGGAGAAGGGAGGTACCTCAAGACACCCAGATCATCCAGGCCCTGGGACCCAAAGCCAGGCTTTCCCCATCACAGTCTGGGTGCCAGAGATTTAGGGAAACGGCATAGGTGGTGTCCTTGTCCTCAGCTAGAGAAAAGCCACATGCATAAACAGGGTTGTAGACTCTAGCGATGGAAGGGACCTTTGGCGTCCAAACCCCTCATTTCACAGAAGAGGAATTGGGACCCAGAGAATTGAACCAACCGGCCCAGTCTCGCTGCTGTTTCATGGCACAGCCAGGGATTGATCCTCGGTCCTCCTGCTCCCCCCAGTCATAGCCACTTCACTGAGATACAAACAGAATATGACTGGGGCACAGAGGTAGCAACGCACACAGGGGTCAGAGGAAGAGAAGATCTCAGGGAGGGCTTCATGGACGAGGTGGATATGATTGAAACAAGTGGCAATGGGGGTGGGGTAGGAAGGCATTCCAGGCCTTGGGAAAGGCCGGAGCAAAGATGGGGAGATGAGAAAGTCCAGTGTTCAGGACACGGGGACTCAAAGGGAAGGGAAGTAAGATGGATCGAGGCTGGAAAGGTATGTCAGAGCTGGTTCTCTGGGGGCCTTGAGTGCCACCCTGAAGGGCTCAGGCCATACTTGGCAATCAGTGGGAAGCCATGGCAGGTCTTTGAGCTGGAGAGTGATGTGATCAGACCTGTGCCCTGGCATGATTGAGCTGGCAGCCCATGGAGGGCGGGTTGGAGGGGGAGAGACCGAGGCAGAGAGGCTGACTGGGAAGCTATTGCCTGGGTGGGGATGAGGGCTCGAGCTGGGGCGTTGGCTGGATGCTGATGATGGTAAAGAAGAGGAGATAAAATCACCAGGAGTTGGCTGCCTGAGGGGGAAAGAGAAGGCAGTCAGAGGTGACTGTGAGTTTCCAAGCCTGTGTGGCTGGAAAGCTGGAAATGGGGACTGGTTTCAGAAGAAAAGTTCATCTCTAGCCAAGAGGAGCAGGAGGTGCTGAGGGAAATTCCAGCCGCATCTGCCCAGCAGGCATCGTTGGCCCAGGGTCCAACACCACGGCCCCAGAACTGTCTAGCTCTTTGCAGGAAGCCGGCTCATTGGCCTCTGCACTTGTGCCTGGCACATAGTAGGTGCTTAGAAAATGCTTCTTGCCCACTGAGGGAGGTGGAGCAGTTGAGCTGTGGGGGCAGGAAGTCCGGATGAGGGCCCTGGCCTCTCTTCCACTGTGAGGCTGGCTGTTGGCAGGTGGAGAGAAGAGAAGAGGGAGGCTGGAGCAGGACACTGCGGTGGCAGAGCCTTGTGTATAGAAGGGGGGACACCAGAGAGCCCGGGGATATCCTTGCTGGTCTAGGCTTCCTTGGGTGGGATTCCCTGAGCCTGGGCCAGGTGGTGCTGGGCTGCCAGGGTGGTGACAACCGCCATCTCCGACAGTACCTTTTCTCTGGGGCAGGCCTGTGTCCCACGTTGTGACAGCTGGGATGGGAGGATCAGGCAGCAGGAAGCAGAGGTATCACACAGGACTTGCCCCGCCTTTCCTGTGTCCTTCAGCCCCCCTAGAAGGTGAAACTGGAATTAGGGGCATGGAATAGGAAAAGGGCCAGGTTTGCTGCCTCTTATACTTGGACCCCAAACCCCCAAATCAGCTAATAATGATGATAAATCCTAGTATCTTAGAGTTGGAGGCCCTTAAAGGTGGCGAGGTACCTAAGAATAATGACCACTCCCGACCCCGCTGGGCCGCCGTCCTCATTGCCACCCTCATCTCCTCTTGTTCCTGTTGGGCTGCTGCCTGGCCTGCGGCGCCTTCTGCCCTACGTTAACTGAGCCTGTCTGGGTGACACGTGGCCTGGGCAACTGTCACTTAGGGCTGGGCCCAAAAGAAAGACCCGCCTGCTCAGGTTGGGATGGGGTGTGTGGGGTGTGTGTGTGTGTATGTGGAGTGTGTGGGGTGTGTGTGGATGTGTGTATATGTGTATGTGGTATGTGTGTATGTGTGTGCTGTGTGTGTGTATGTGGGGTATGTGTGTAGGGGGTGTGTGTGTATGTATATGTGTGTTGTGTTGTGTGTGGGGTGTGTATGTGTGTGTGTGTGTGTATATATACATGTGGTATATGGGGTGTGTGTGTGGTGTGTGTGTATGTGTATGTGGTATATGTGTGTGGGGTATGTGTGTGTGTATGTGTGTATGTGTGTGGGTGTGTATATATGTGTATATATATGTGGTGTATGTGTGTATATATGTGGTGTATGTGTGTGTGTATGGGTGTGTGGTGTGTATATGTGGGGGGGGTGTATGGGTGTGGATGTGTATATACATGTATATATATGTGGTGTATGTGGTGTGTGTATGTGTGATGTGGGTGTGTAGGTGTGTATGCATGTATATGTGTGTGGTATGTGTAATGCGTGTATATGTGTGTTGTGTGTGCATGTGTGGGGTGTGTATATGTGTGTATGTGTGTGGCGTGTGTATGTGGGTATGGTGTGTGTATATGGGTATATGGGTATGTGGTGTGTATATGTGGGGGGGTGTATGGGTGTGGATGTGTATATACGTGTATATATATGTGGTGTATGTATGTGCGATGTGGGTGTGTAGGTGTGTATGTATGTATATGTGTGTGGTATGTGTAATATGTGTATATGTATGTTGTGTGTGTGCATGTGTGGGGTGTGTATATGTGTGTATGTGTGTGTGGCATGTGTATGTGGGTATGGTGTGTGTATATGGGTGTGTGGT